CGGAAACTCGGGATTACACATTGATATTTTAGCTACTAAAAGACAAAAAAGTAGTATCAATAGCATAGTGAAAAACATTTGATTGCTGGTTGTCGAGACAATCGGTTTCGAGACGGAGATCATAAACTGCTTCGTATGCTTGTTTCTTTAACAAGGGAATCTGTGGAAATAAACCTGATCAGTCACCATTGGGAACATGAAAATGGAAAGCAGTAAAAATGTTACACCAGTTTTTTAACGGTCACGTTAAACGGGTAAGCGGCATGCAACAAAGCATAATAGACACTACGTGAATGGAAAGCATTAGTGCTGTTTGAGCAATAACAAGAATTGTGGTCAGACAATTTTGTGCACAAAAAATGGATGAGCTCATGAACGGCAGGTGAAAAAAGAAAAACACGCGGAGCCATAAACATACAACAATTTCACCGCGACATTCATCCATGGTGTGTGCACTAATGTGATCAATGATGGGGGATGGGGTGGGATGAGGTGAGTGACTGAGCACCAGAACCAGTATCAGGCAATGATAATACGGGAGGAGGTGATGAACGGAAATAAGACCAAAATTCGGAATTCCCCGGGAACAAATGGCAGAATATGTTGGCGATGAAATGTACCTGGTGGAGGTGGCCCACTATCAACACTTCCGCCATCACCACCGTAATCACAGTTTGGCGGACTAAATCCCGGATTGCAATGACAGTTACCGCGATTATTGCAGACCTACAGAATGGACAGAGAGAAAGAGAGACGAGCAAAAATGGGTTGAAGTTCAGTTCAGTAAGCCAAATTGAATAGACTACATAGCAGTAATCGAACTATATGTGAACCTATTAATTTTGTGAAGGCAAATATGATAATTTAAGATATTAAATGACTTCAAAGTGAATCGTCATGCGACGACCATGCCAGTGTATAACAAACACAACCGAAAAACTTTCGAACCGCTGCACAGCTACCTTATCCATGTTAGAATTGGTTGAGAATACGTATTCCTGGGCTCAAGCCCGCAGGCTACCACTGGGCTCACTCCGGTGATTAGTATCTTGTCCACCCCACGTGATGCCTATTTTGAACTAAAGCTCAAATATGGTCAAAACGCCGAGGATCATAGATCGATTTTGAACTGTTCCTGGTTAAAATATCCTGATGAGACACTGCAGAGATACTCGAGAACGAAATGAGAGACTGACACTCACCTAATTCGTCTCAGGCCCGTTTCTTTGCAGATGTGGACGAGTGAAGCGGTTCTAGTAATTAAATTAATACAGTTCTACCCTGGCGTCTTCATATTTATTCGAAGACTACTCACTGTCCTTGGAAAGCTGGATTATAGTACTCGCTTTTGGTCAAAGCGATTTAAATTGACTAATACAACAGGAATAAGATTCGTATACAAACGGAGAGTGCAATTTTTGACCCTAATAGTCCCCGAGGAGGATGAAAAATCACATGGTTTTATCTGAACTTAGGTCATTCGTATAAGATGCAAACAGATGTTTTCATCTATGGATGCACCCAAACATATATACCTTGAACTATATGGTACATCTAGAAGCCCATAATCGATTTTTCTTTACAAAGGCAAGCGCATCAGCAAAACAAAATGATGGTCATTTTTGTATCGAAACATCGTCAGAAGTCTATCGGGTAGACTGAAAGGTATACGGACGAAGACTTATAGTTCAATTATGGAAACTAGGAAGCTGACTCCGGGGACTGGGAGTGGCCAACCATCAAACAACATCTCAACACGACAGGTGTAGTGATCGATCGGGTGAGAGAGGAGCTGTCTACAAACGTCGCATTCGAGCAAAGACAGCCAAACTCAGGTCAGATATCGTTGTAGCCACCGAAAATGCCGTTTAGTCCAGACCTACCGAGAGCTTGTAGATCTTCCGGTTGCAAGAGATAATATATGTTACATCCAAGTTTGTATGGGCAAAC